CTGCGAGCCCGGGGCGGCCCGTGGCGGTGCCCGCCGAGGTGAGCGGTCGGGAGTGATCGCCCCTTGGCGTGGGTCCTACCCGGAGCGTCCTCCTGCTCGGTTTGATTTGGTTTCTTTTTTTTCACTGATGTGGGATTTGGCCCCTTAGGGCCCGTGTCATTTTAGTGGCAGCGTGGAAGCCCCTAACGGTGTGCTGGCTCTGGCTGATACTGCTCTGTAAATATCTTTCTGTTAAGTACTTGTAGATATAAATCATTTATCTATCTATATTTTTAATCTAGAAGTTATGCTGACTGCCTGCTGGTGATGCTATGCAGTGTTATTTCTGTTAAAGACCAATGAAAAGATGTTAAATGTTTTGTATTTGGTGGAAGCAAAGACCTTGTGCTACTTTAAACAGGCTATTTTTGGGGATACAGAAAGAGCTTTTCAGGATAATGAATCCATATGTTTTGTAGTAGCAATGTGCTAGCATACAATTTTAAATAGGTACTGTGATTATTCTTGCAGAAGGGTTAAAAACATGCAGCTGGTATTTTAGGAAATAGAAGATACATCAGATAGTTGCTTTGAAATAGTTATAATGGAAAGGTCAGGTGGGCCATCTGCATCTTCCAAAAAGATGGACCCAACAGAGAAGCCTCTCCTTTCAGGAGCTACATGAACTGTACGGTCAGAGGGCTGTGAGCAGGAATCTTCTCTGTAGCAGTGGAAACAAGCTGCACAAGGAGTAGGCAACCAAGAAGCACCTGAAGTAAGAAATTCAGAAAAGGAAGAACAAACATCTCAAAACTCAGTACTACCAGTGAATATGGCAAATAATTCAGAAGCAGGTAAAGAAGTTATCAAAATGTTGGACATCAGGGCTTTCAAGAGATTTTTTTCTTCCAACTTGATTATGGATGGCTTCTTTTGCCTTCTACACCCTCATTCTGTTCATGTTCTCTGGTTTCTAATCTCAAAGTGACTTTTAAAATTCTCATATAAAACATGTTTTAAAAGATGTTGAATATGCTCTTTCTCTTAAGTTGCAGCAGCAATTTGTAGATTAATGCATTTTATAGGGATCTTCATTTACACACATTTGCAAAACAGCAGTGACTGCATAATTTGCATGAGTACATGAGCTACTAACAGTTTAGACTAGATCACAGCAATTACTTTACTATTTTTCTTCTCTTGGACTCCCCTGTAGCTTACCTGCCACCCTTGCATTGTCAGTTTCCTTCTCCTGCATTCCCCAAGACAATCCATCATTTCCTGCACTTGTACCTCTGCACTCTGGGTGTCCTTTGCTATTTCCTTTCCCCAGTTCAGTGCCTCATTTTTTTAGGTATTCAGAGCAGGAGACAGTGTGTCCCGTCCAGCAGGTGAGTGCTCAGAGGGACTTTTAGGAGCATGGATGTGCTGACCACCTTCCTCTTCGCTGGGCTGCAGTCAAGCCTCTCATTCTGAGTAGGTGGCAGTCACATTCTAGGAAAGACACTGTATGAAAGCCAGATAGAGTCTTATCTCTAAATCAACAGGAATTAATTTCTGGAGCTTTGAGTTAAGTAGATCTGGTTCAGAATATAGTCTTTGAGTAACACCACAGCATCGAGTATTGTGAAAGACAACAGAGATTCAGCTGTCATATGCTTAGATCAGGTCTAAACTGAGGCAGGTTTACAGAACATTTTTCAAAAAAAGTTGGGAGTATAAATGGGTATTTTTTATTTAAAATTATGCGTTTGTAAATAAATATGTTTACTTACTGTAACTTTTAAAGAATTGTCATATGAATGGCTTTATGTGGTTACAGTATGAAGTATCTCAAAGCGTGTCGTAATACTGTTTCACCTTTCAAGTGCACTGTCTTTCCAGCTCAAAAATCTGTGATTATTCTGTGTTGCAGTGTTTCAATAAAATAATCTCAGTGTAAACTTGAAAGAATTATTTATATGTTTGTTTTGCAGAGCTTATCAGGAATTAATCTTGGGTTTATTTTTAGAATCTGTGATTGAGGATAATGAATCTCCTGAGAAGACCAGGGCTAACTTGGATGAAACTATCCAGTCTGAGA